CCTGTGGTCTCTATTTTAGGAAGATTTTTCTTTGTTATATTTTCATAGCTCTATGTGTTTTTGGGAGGAGATTTCCACTGTTCTACTCACGCCGCCATCCTGGCTCCGCCCCGCTCCTTTTATGTTTTATACCCCATTATCAGTCCTCTCAAAACTCCAGTGCAGGCATTATCTTATATCTTCCTTTAAGAAATGGTATTTGACAAACCTTTCAAGAGGTTTGAAAATGATGCTGTTAACCATATTTGTGATTTCTTTCCATTGCTTTATCAATAAACATATAATAATAATACAGTGGGGTAAGATTAAGGGATAGCATGGTATAGTGATGTAAAATTCTGGATTATAATCTTGTTTCATATTTCCAATTGTGACTTTGGCCAAGTCTTTAAATCATTTTTCAGTTTGTTGATTCAAAGTAATAATGCCTTCCTATTCATGTCCTGCAATGATTAAATTAGCTAGTTCCTTTACATAAATATACGGTCATAGTCAAAGAACTTTAGAGAAGAAACAAACTTTCAAGGTAAAGGATTTTATAAACTTTATTCTGAAGCTTTGTCAACTACTTCTGAAGGAAAGTTACGAAGAACTGTAATACAGAAAACAAATAATATTGGGTTGCTCTGGTTGAAGTAAGAGTAGGGTCCATAGAGACTGCTGCCTGTTTGGTTTCCCCTCAGTTTTTCCCTGAGAGCCCAATATACCAGAGCTCAAACAAAGCACTGAGAAAATACTTTTTAAACAAATCAGTTATTAAGAAACTAGAGTATGTGTTAATTTTGAAGAAGATAGGGGCTTAATATTCATTATTATGGCTGTTACTGTTTTATGCATTTCTATTTTACTAATTGTCATTGATAGTAAAGCAAAACACATTTTACTACATTATATATATATCATGGAAGGCTCTTAAAACTTTTAGAAAATGAAGCTTTTAGGGCTACTAACAATAAGCATTTTGTAAATGTACTGATTCCTGTGCCAATAAGTAAAAGTTAAAAAAATAAACCTACCTATTGTTATTGAGTCAAATGATCCCTTTATATTTACTTCCTATCCAGTTAGACCTCTTTTTTATGATTCAGAGAGCTCAACCTCAGATGACAACATGCAGCATTTTTTGTGTTGTCTTTGCCATAAGCAGTGGTATGAACACACTTTTTAATATAGAATGTTCATATTATGGTAGACTGCTGATTTTAAAAAAGACATGCATTTCCAAAGTAAACTTTAGAGTTGTAGCCAGTGAAGAAATTAAGGCTAACTGGCCCACATATTCATGTAAAATTTTGATTTCATTACAAGGTGTTCTAACCATATTCTGATGCTTCCTCTTTTATTATTATTATTATTATTATATATTTTTTGTGTCATTAACCTACAACTACATGAAGAACATTATGTTTACTAGGCTCCGCCCTTCACCAAGTCCCCCCGACAAACCCCATTACAGTCACTGTCCATCAGCATAGTAAGATGCTGTAGAATCACTACTTGTCTTTTCTGTGTTGCACAGCTCTCCCCGTGCCCCCCCCACATTATACATGCTAATCATAATGCCCCCCATTTTTCCCCCACCCTTTCCCTCCCTTCCCACCCATCCTCCCCAGTCCCTTTCCCTTTGGTAACTGTTAGTCCATTTTGGGTTCTGTGATTCTGCTGCTGTTTTGTTCCTTCAGTTTTTCTTTGTTCTTATACTCCACGTATGAGTAAAATCATTTCGTACTTGTCTTTCTCCACCTGGCTTATTTCACTGAGCATAATACCCTCTAGCTCCATCCATGTTGTTGCAAATGGTAGGATTTGTTTTCTTCTTATGGCTGAATAATATTCTATTGTGTATATGTACCACATCTTCTTTATCCATTCATCTACTGATGGACACTTAGGTTGCTTCCATTTCTTGGCTTTTGTAAATAGTGCTGCAATAAACATGGGGTGCATCTGTGTTTTTCAAACTGGGCTGCTGTATTCTTAGCGTAAATTCCTAGACGTGGAATTCCTGGGTCAAATGGTATTTCTATTTTGTGATGCTTCCTTTTTTAAAAGAGCTTTATTGATACATTATTTGCACTTGTTCAAGTTCACCTATTAAATGTGTGAAAGTCAGTGGGCTTTAATATATTTACAGAGTTGTGCAACCATTACCATATTTCAATTTTAGAATATTTTCATCACCCTTCCAAAATACCTTGTACCCATTAACCCTTTCTTCCCACTCCTTTCCCTAGAGAATCACTTTTCTATTTTTCATTTCTATGGATTTGCCTATTTCTTTTAAAAGGTAGCATATAATATGTGGTCTTTTATTATTGGCTTCCTAGCATTTGTTTATCTTGTAACAAATTAGTACTCCATGCTCTTTCTTTGATAAATAATATTCCATTGTATGGATATTACACATTTTGTTTATCCATTCATCAGTTGATTGACATTTGGATTGTTTCCACTTTTTGGCTATTATGAAAAATGTTTCTTGAATTGTTTGTATGGACATCTGTTCTCATTTCCTTTGGATAGATATCTAGTGGTAGAATTCCTGGGTCATAGGATAATTCTATTTTTAACATTCTGAAGAGCTGCCACCCTATTTTCCAAAATGCTGCATTAATTTATATTCCCACCAGCAATGTATGAAAGTTCCAGTTTCTCTACATTCTCCCAACACTTGTTGTCTCTTTTTGTTTGTAGCCATTCTGGTGGGTATAGTTCACTATCTGGTAAATCCAGTGTTTCTTGAGCAGACCCATACAGGCCTATAGATATGTTCTGGGGGATCTAAGAATTTTCTCTCATAATTTACTTTTTTAAAAAAAATTTCCATGTTGATGCTAACATTGAAAAAAAAGCAGTGGAACGATACTGTAATAAATCATTTGGGTGACTGACCACCCTATAAGCAAGGACTGCCATACTATTTCACTGTTCACATTTAGCTGGTACTTAAAAGTCCATTGGCATCAAGAAATAAAACTTGGAATTTTTCATATGCTAATGGGAATAGAGGAGGAATAATTATATAAATTATGTATTTCTGCCAGGAGGCAGCCAAATTTTATTTTGCTTCTATTTATGCTGTAGGGAGCAGAACTATTTGAATATAGAGAAATGGCTAAATAATTGAGTCATCACAGCATTAAGGAATGATAAAAGCAAAAGAACTTAATCTATAGCAGTGACCCTGATTACAATAACTATCATATTTGACTTTTTTAGCTGTGATTTGATTTTAATAAAAGACTATTATGGTGAATGGTGATACAACTCTTTTTCTTTGTGTTTTTTCTTTTTTTGGTGTTTATATAAAAATTATTTTGGTTTATAATTATAAAATTCCAGTTGTATGTTTATACACTTAAAAGCAATATTGTACTTAAAAAGTAACTTAAACAAACATTTAGGAATCATGATGATTTGTTTCTGTATCTTTAGGTTTCATGCCATTGGCTCTTTGTTTTTAGTTAGGCCTATATGCTGTGTCCTGTGAGATTATATTTTAAATCAAGTTTGTATTTTCACTTATTTAAAGCATAATTTAAGTAATGTTGTTAATTATTTATATTAAAAGCTATCCTACTATAAAGAAGGTATTGAGAAATGATTTGTAAAAGTACATTAACACATTTTTCACAATTTTGTTTTATTTTCACTTTTATGATAACTTTTAATTCCACAGATAATCAATATGCATTTCCAAGGCTTTTGGCTATATTTGGGTCTTTTAGTAATCTCAGTTAATGCAGAATTTATGGATGATGGTGTTGAGATGGAAGACTTTGAGGAAAATTCAAAAGAAATTGATGCTAATGAAGGTGAACTCTCCTCAGAGGTAAGGTTATTGAAAAATGAGATGTAAATTATTCCTTTATAGGGTATGCAGTAGTGACTGATCTCTTAAGATTCACTTCAGTTCTACTGGTCTTCATTTTCTAAATAAATAGAAAAACACTGCATTTTTCCTATATTTGTTTCTGTGTTTTTTAGAGTGCTCATGTCCCACAGAAATTTGTGTATGACACCTAACAGTTTTATTACCAAATAAACATGAGGAAGGTTTTTGCAATTGAAATAGGGGTTCATTAGTAGGCTAAAGAGGACTGAGTTCTTCCAGTTTTCAGTCTTATTTCTGACACTGCCAACTCTCCTCAGGTAAGAGAAAAGGTGGTATAGCTTGTAGTTTACCTAGAATTGCAGTAAGTAGCTTTTTAAAATTTATCTGAGGAAAGAAATGTTTAAGAGGAGGATGAACTAGAAAGGGAAGTGATGATGAGGTAGGCATTCAGTAAGGCTCGCCTGTGTTACTGTCCTAGAATTGCTAAGATGTGGTGACTAACAGAAGTCTGAAAAACTTCCCAGAGATTTTTGTACATCTTGACAATCCATAAGAGCTTTTACATTGACAGATAATCAGATCTAAAACTGGGACAACCAGAACATTTTTTTTCAGAAATATTTTGGTGGTGAGAAAGCATCAATTACATTTACTAGCCACTGCTCAAAGGGCCAAGGAGAATAATATATATTTATAGAATCCTTTGCCTCACTTCCTTTTGGAGTTTTTATTTGCCTATGTAAGTGTTGTTCAGCTGATGGAAGTGAATATTCTTTCTCTGGTTGAATATTAAGCTCCCCAGGACATTACTTTCAAAACTTTGTTCTATGATCCACAGAAAGTAAGCAATCAAAGTGCTAATGGCTGACTTAGATGCAGCTACCACAAGGGCCTCTGAGGTTATACTTCAAAAGGATTGGCAGATGGCCACCACTCTTAACTGTACTTGGGGATAATTTGAAAAGATGGTAAGGAGTAGGAAAGAACAATTTTTGATGCTTCTAATTTGATAGCACAAGTAATGTAATAGGTAAAGTATAAATAAAAGGCAAAATCAAGTGCTGGTGATTAAAAGGGTGCTCTAACAGAAGGAAGCCTCCTGTAACACCACTGACCCTATTGCCAATCCATGAAAATATGGAGAATAGTAAGGTTGTAATTGAGTAAACTTCATAGAAGATTAGTAACTGTGAGAGCAGGGTCTTGATCCTGTTAGTAATTATTGAATTTTAATTACTTATTTTCCTCCCTTAGGCAGGGTAGGAGATGTGAAAATAGAAATAGTATTGCTGCATCCTTTTTTCTAAAGGCTGAAAGAAAAAAAATCTCCTAATTAACCAAATAGACAAAATCAGAAAAGCTGATTCAGAAAGGACCTAGACTGGCCTGTTGAACAAAATCATTCATCATCAACTCAAACTACATTTTAATGATTTGTCAATAAGTTACCTTTAGGCTTTTAAATTATTTTGTTGGTGTGTTCTATATAGTGTAGTGGTTAAGTTGTATGTACTTTGGAGCCAGATAGCCTGGCCTCATATCTACAAGTGTCTTAACTGTGTGACATGAGTAAGTTACTTTGCCTCTCTCCTACAGTTTTATCATATGTGAAATGGATAAAATAATAGTACTTCTCTCAGACGTATGAGGATTGAAAGACCCACCATATTCCCACCATTGCCACATCATCATTATCATCATCACAGCAGCTCACACTGCCATGGCACTTGGAATAGTGCTTTGCAGATAATGGCTTTGCAGTGCTCTCTCTCTCTCTCTGTTGATCCTTTTCTTCTCTGGGTTCCTAATCTCTCAAAATGGTATCATCCTCCTCTAGATGTGTAATGTGAAATAAGGGTTAATTTTAAACTAGCCCACAGGCTTACAGGGTTTTTCATCTTTCTTGATTTTGGTCATGCCATTTCCTTTGTTTCTAACAAATTTTATCTCCAAATATTGTCACTGTTAGAGTTCTTTCAAGGCCATGTCAACTGTGCCATGAGGCCTTCTCTAATGACTTCTTCCCATTCCTCCTGTATTAGAAGGCATCAGTGTATTCTCTTTGCACAGATAGTACTTTTCCTCCATCATTGTATCTCTTATATTCTCTTGTATCTTATCACTGATAGAATACAAGGTTTTGACATGAGACCAGGTCAGTTTATCTAAATTACCTGTGTGTACAATATACATACTAGGTTCTGAACCAGTGAGATCATTTCAAATATTTGTGAAGATGAACAATTTTAGACTCTTAAAAATCTATTTATTTTCTAGATTAAATACAAGACACCTCAACCTATAGGAGAAGTATATTTTACAGAAACTTTTGATAGTGGAAGGTTGACTGGGTGAGTATTCATTCAAGAAAATGCTTGAATTGATTAGCTTTTTTGAAGTTACTGGTTATTGCCCTATGAAAATGTCCTTTACTACAGAATTATAAAAAATGTTGATGTGCTTTATTTGACAATGTTTAGCCAGGACCTTAACACATTCTGTTACTGATAGAAATGTTTAATTCAGTTATTCATTTATATTAAAGAAAATACAAATGAATTATAAAAGTAAAGTGAAAATTTATAACATGTCTTCATTCCTTAGGACAGATATTAATATTTAATTATAGATGACAAATTCAAGTTACTCTTCCATGCTCAATAATGGTTAAGGCAATAAAAGTTATTATTTGTTGATTATTACATGCTAGACACTGTCCTAAGCAGGTTGCTAAGTACTATCTTTACCTCCATTTTACAGGTGAGGAAACTGAGACTTAATGTATCTTTCCTATGGCCCTATAGCTAGTAAATTGCAGATACCAAATTTGAGTTAACTCTAGCCTTGAGGATTATATGTATGCAACCTTATTTAGTCTCTAAGTATTTATTTGTTTTTGAATGAGAAGTGACTGTTGTGTAATCTTTTGTTGTGTATCTAATATGTATTGTAACTAAATTGCTGGTTTTTACTTGTAATGATATATATTTGCTTTCACCTTTATTTGTAGGTGGGTTTTATCAAAAGCAAAGAAAGATGATACAGATGTGGAGATTTCTATATATGATGGTAAAATATTTATTTAAATACTCTATATAGCCAGTATGACCCAGAGTTCACCAGCTTTTAAGATTGTATTTCTGTTAAATTTATGGGCTCTGAGGCCCCATCTGGCTTCACAATAGAATGTTCAGTCTTTTATCTTGTCTGCTTTCCTCTATTTCTGGAAGTCCCTGGCTGATCCATACTGAAGCCACCACCCACTTTTCTAACACTGAAAAGCTGGATTTTCACTGCACCACAGTGAGCCATTGCATTTCCTGAAGTTGCACTTCTAAGGCTGCTATTGCAGCATCCCAAGCATGGGCACACCTCGATCAAGTTATGACTGTGGTTAGATTCTCCTTGCAGAAGGATAATTTATGAGAGCTACAAATATCTGTGGCTCCTTCTGGAGCCCACATTCCTAGTCTTACATCCATTATAATTGGGTCTCTGGTAGGATTATCTTCAGGCTTTGCTATTAGGAGAACTGTCCCATATGCAAGGGTCATCTTTTCTTCCCTGGACTTTCCTGGAGTATGACAAAAGAATCTCTTCCTCCTCCTCAATTGTTATATCCTAAAGCAAGGTCAGCTTCTTCTCAAAGTGGTAGTGGGAATTTTCTCTCTAAGGGGACCTCATATCTGTAAGGATGTGACCTCACACTCAGACCCCAACAGGCAGTTATATGAGAACAGTAGATAACAGCATATGTAGAATGTCAGATTACTTGCTTTTCATAGTTTGTTTTTGCATGTCTTCCTTTGCAGTGTTCTCCATCCCAACAAATGCTTATGTACTCCAAAAATATTCTACAATATACAAAAACAAGCAATACAGCATCTGATCTAAATCCTTTTAGAGAAAAGAATAATTTTCCCTAGGGAAGCAGGTAGTCTGCAGAGATAGAACATTACTTAAAATATACCCACAGAAATACACATTATCAAACAGAATGCTTGGCTTAAAACATATATGTTTAGGTTACTTTACAATTTTTTTTGCCCAAGAACATTGGGCAGATACTTGCTTAACATTCATATTTTAGAAGAATTCATTGATGGGGAGTTACCCTAAAAATTAAGATACGGTCTTGTCTTATGAGTGAGTTTGTCTCTAATTATTGCTGGACAAAAGTGGCTTTTAGTGTTAAAATGAATTTTTTCTTCAGCTTAAAATTACAAATCAAACAAGCAAGCAAAAAACAGACTTCTTAAGCACCCAAGTTTGGTCTGTAGTCTTATTAAACATAAATAAATACCCACAAAAACAATTTTCTAGCATACTAGATTTACTGTGGTTTCTGGCTTTTTCAATTTCTTGAAAGCAACTGAAAAATATGGAATGTCTGAAAGGTCTAGATCCTGAAAATGGTATTTTGGATATTGATAACAGCAGTATTTTCTAGTGGTTAGTTGAGACCAGTATCAGATTTCTTTGCAAGGATATTTTGTATTCACAACAGTTAGATGGCTTCTGTCAAGTGCCACTTGAGTACAACTCATTCCAAAGTCTAAGGAATAAGCAAACGTGCATACATTGGACTGAGATACAGTATTTGCATTTGGAGTAGACATATTTAAGTATTTAAAGTTACCTTATTAATAGAAGTATAGATGTTTAATAAATATCAGTCATTTAAGTCACCAACTTTCATGATGTCTTATAAAACTGTGTGAATTCTTTTTGAAGATTTATTTACATCAGGATTTGTTTTCCCTGGTTGTATCTAGAATTTGGGTAAATGGTTAATAAAAAGCTATTATTTATTTGAAGTTGGGAAAACCTCTTGCTAATGAGGAATAATTATCTTGTCACAAGTTTTATAAAATTAAACTGCTAGACAGTACCTTTTTTTCCTTTATTTATTTATTTATAATTTTGTTATCATTAATCTACAATTACATAAAAAACATTATGTTTACTAGGTTCTCCCCTACCCCAAGTCCCCCCAACAAACCCCCTTACAGTCACTGTCCATCAGCATAGTAAG